AGCTGCAATGCCACGGGACTCTACCTAGGGGGACAGCTTGAGGCTCTGTCTCAAAAAAAAAAAAAAAAAAAATCAAAATAGGATAAAAATAAAGAAACACATGTAGGTCTGTTATGGTCAAATTTCTGAAAAGCAGTGATCAGAGAGGACATGCAGTAAAAAAAAGAAATATTACATATACAGTAAAAAAGAATGATAATAGACTTCTCTTCAGATACCATAGAAGCCAAAAAGACAACAAATATAGCAACATCTTTAAAAGAAAAAATTATGGCCTGGTGTTGTGGCTGATACCTGTGATCCCAGCACTTACTCTGAGAGGCCCAGGCAAGTAGGTTGCTTGAGCTCAGGAGTTTGAGAGCAGCCTAAGCAAGAGTGAGACCCTGTTGTCTATAGTCCCCGAGGACAACAAAGTGAGACTGTCTCCAGAGGAGAGAAGAAAGGAGGGCAGAGGAAGGGAGAAGAGGGGAGAAGAATTTTATACTCACCCCCAATAAAAAAAGTAAAAACAAACAAACAAAACCATTACAGCAGCCCTGAATAACAACAAATGTTAAATAAACTAATCTTAGACAATTTTTTCTGTAAGAGCCCGTTAACAAATAAAATGTTATAATATTACTTGAAGGTAGACTATGATAAATTAAAGATGTATACTAAAAACCATATAGCAACCAATAAAAAACACCAAACAACAAATGAATAAATAATAAGCCAATAGTAAAGATAAAATTAATCAACTCAAAAGAAGGCAGGGAAAGCAGGAAAAAGAACAGATAGAACAAATTGAAAGGGCTGGGCAAGGTGGTTCACGTCTGTAATCCTAGCACTATGGTTGGCCAGGTGGATGGATTGCCCTTAGCTCACAAGTTTGAGACCAGCCTGAGCCAGACTGAGACCTCATCTCTAAAAATAGCCAGGCGTCTATAGTTTCAGCTCCTTGGGAGGCTGAGGCAAGAGAACAGCTTAAGCCCAAGAGTTTGTGAGGTTGGTTGTTATGAGCTGTGACACCATGGCACTCTACCAAGAGCAGCAAAGTGAGACTTTGTCTCAAGAAAAAAAGAAAACAAATAGCAAGGTAACAGATTTAAATCTAATCACATCAATTACATTAATGTAAATGATAGTTTACACTTTGATTGTAAGGCAGAGGTTATAAGGCAGAAGTTATCACATTGAATAAATATCACACACTAATACAGGAAAATATAGAAACTAGGAATATAAAACTGGAACATTAAAGACTAATTTATATACCTAGAGTAAACTGAACATAATTCTGCTAGATTTATATCAATGTAACCAAATGAATGCATGTAAGTAAAATTAGTAAAATAAACTGACTTAAAGACATTAAGTAATCTAACTTAACTTTTTTTTGTTTGTCTTCATTTCCCATTTTAAGGGCTCCAAATTGATTTGTTCCCCCTCCTCAGCAAATACAATGTTCGTAACACTGACCTTTCCATGGCTTCTTTCCACTTTCTGAAAACACTTATTTAGGGACAGATTATGTCGAACAGAATTCTTCCAGCCTGTTGGTGCAGTAGCAAAATATGGGAAACGGTTCAGAATCCAGCTGTAAATTTCTTTGACAGGCAAACATTTATTTGGCGAGTGTTCAATAGCCATGTAAATGAGAAGACTAAAGGAGTATGGGGGCTTCGAAGTTGCGGATTTTTTTTCTGGGTTCTGGTAGCAAGATGATCCAAAGGATGGCACATCATCTCCCTCTATATCATACAAGGGACTAACAATTGGAAGATCCTCACTTCCCAGGCTGAAGTTTGTTAGAAGATTAGTACTTTCATGAAGCCAGTTCAAGTTTGTAAGTTCATCATCTGCTGACTCACTGTCCACTAGAGTGGCCTTTGGCCTGGCAGCATCAACAGCTTCAGGCAGACTTCCCATTTTGTAAATCTGGCTTAATCCTGCAACCTTTTCAGCTCCTGGGGTTTCAGCTCTCTTATCTGGAGTCATTCCAATTACTGGACCCATTTACTCTTAGAGTTCTGCAACAAAGGAAACAATTATTAATGTAATTCTAAAAATTCTTAAACTCTGGGAAAAAGAAAATATACATTTAAAAATTCTCAAATGAAAGAAATTTTGCAATCAATTATCCTACGTAATATTTAAGTATAATATTTGTATAAGAAAGAAAAGAAAAGGAAAAAAAGGAAGGAAAATAGGAAAGCCAATATTGCAAGCCAGGTTGAGTTCAATATCCAAATTTTGGGCCAGCAGAGTTAATCTCAATCAATCTCTTACGGAACTTAAGAAACCTAAGAAGTAATGAATTACTAATGTAACAAACACTCAAAAATCAGTCTCTTGACAACTACATTCTTTCATCAAAAACTAATTTAAACTGGTTGCAAATGTTATATACCCTGAATTACAAGTTTAGAATAAAATCCCATTAAAATGTAAAGCAATATTATGTAGTAAACATGCCAAAGAGACCCCATCTCTACAAAAAATAGAAAAACTGGCCAGGCATAGTGATATGAACTTTTAGTCCCAGTTACTTAGGAGTCTGAGCTAAGAGGATTGCTTGAGCCCAGGAGCTTGAGATTACATTGAGCTATATGACACCACTATCTTTTTTTTTTCTTTTGTACTCTAGTCTTGACAACAGAGCAAGACTTTGCCTGGGAGTGGGTTGGAATTCAATTTCACTAGACATGAAAATATAAAAAGTCAAAACAAAAGATATGAAAATCAAAACAAAAATATGATATTAAATACAATGTAGTGGCTCAGCGCCTGTGGCTCAAGTGGCTAAGGCGCCAGCCACATATACCTAAGGTGGCGGGTTCCAATCCAGCCCAGGCCTGCCAAACTACAATGACGGCTACAACCAAAAATAGCTGGTTGTTGTGGTGGGTGCCTGTAATCCCAGCTACTTGGGAGGCTAAGGCAAGAGAATCACTTAAGCTCCAGAGTTTGAGGTTGCTGTGAGCTGTGACGCCATGGCACTCGACCAAGGGTTACAAAGTGAAACTCTGTCTCAAAAAAAAAAAAAACATACAATGTAGTTAGCACATCACCTTGTATACAGTAAGCACAAATATTAGCAATAAAAACATTATCTTGGGAGGCCGTGGTGGGAGGACTGCTGGAGTTGAGGGGTTCAGGGCCAGCCTGACCAAGAGCAAGAACCCATCTCTA